ATGCCTAGCATTTGAAGGTAAAAATTAATCTGATGCATTTTAGATTATCTGCAGACAGGATCTAGTCTGCCTTTTTTTTTTCTTTTTTTTTTTTTTCTCTCAACATGGAACTTTATTTTTTTAGTAATTACAGCATTCAGACCATGGATTTCTTAGTACCACCTAAGGTAGAAGTAGAAAAGCCTGCCTTACTACTTTTCATAAGGACTAGTAGTAAACATGGAAGGGACAAGAAGTGTTTGGTAGGTGGACTAGATGATCTTAGAGGTCTTTTCCAACCTTAATGATTTTTCATTTCTACAATTCTGTTTCTACTGAAAGCTGGCATTAATAGAGATGCATAGGACCTCATGCTGCAGCAAAACATAGCTAACTGAAACACAAAATATGAGAAATGTCATGGGCAGACTAGTGGGCTTTTTCCTCAAAGGGTTAAAAGTTTGCATGATGTGGTATTACTGTGTTGTTTCAGAGTACTTAGATTTTTGCATACAAATTACCTTGGTTACGATATTACCTTGATCTTTCTTATGACAAAGATACAAGTGTCTAAAAATTGAAAGGATGCTAATTTTGATTAATGGTGAATTAAGGGAAATTCACACAGAAAATTCAATTTGTTAAATTAAAGCTTTTTTTTTTTTTTTTCCTCTGAAAACAAACAAACAAAACCCCAACAGGTTACTGTTATCTTCATTTTCAAACTAAGTGAAATTCAGATTTTACATGTGGACATTATTGAGAACTGCATTCTAAGACCTTGAAGGTACAAATGTCAAAATCAGGTAACAAAAATAAAATAAGGCATAACATATCAAGAATTATATATTTCCTCATTTTACTTGTCTGCAGTATTACCAATGGAACAGCTTTTCTTGAGTGCTTACATTTTGGTTTTTTTACTTCTCTTATTATTTCTGTTTATTTACGTTTCCTAATCTTTGATCATTTTAAATATAACTTTGAAAAAATCCTTACCAAGCAATGGAATTTTCCTCCATGCTCTGTCATTTAAGTGCTACCAAGCCATATTTTCTCAGAGAACAGATTATGTGAGAGGAAATTATTACTACATGTGCTGCTTGCAGGAACGGAAGGTGCAAATTGTAGAGCAGGTTTTTGGGACGCATGATTTAGGTCAGTACGATTTCAGCCTTGAATGGTTTCGCATTTGCCAAGAGCTCTGCCCTTAACAAATAGGACATAAAACAGAACTGGCTGATGTTTCTTTGCATTCCATTTGGTTACAAAAATAAAGCAGCAAAGCCCATTAGGTTGCACTAGTAGTGGGTTTGCAAACTGCCGTGGCTGCAGCAACCTGCTTTCTCTAAGCAATAGGTGCACAAATTGAAAGGGCCAAAGCTGGGGAGACTGAAAATGTAGTCTTAATGGTTAAAATAAGGTTTTCATGCAAGCCAGAGGAGGCCAGAGAACAGGCAGAGCCAACCTTCCACCTGCAGTAGAGGTGGGCTTGATTTGCCTCCCAACAGCTGCACTTCTCAGTGCAGGATTTGGGAGTGCTACAACAAGGTAAGTTTGGAACCAATCACCTCACCTCAGTTCTTCCCAAACAGCTGTCTGTGGGCAATTTTGTGTGGGTCTGGCACAATTATCTGCTTGTACAACTGAAGGATGCAGCCTCTACTTGTATACCAAACTTGACAAGCCCTGGAACAGATTCTCTATTTCAAAAGAATGTCATTTATAAATCTTGTTCCATTGTTTACTTAAATAATGAATGAGTTCAGCTGCAAGATGCTCTACAGTTTTGTCTTCAGTCTATTTTTGCAGAGAACCTCAAAATTTGAGGAAACCATCATACAATTTATCATAAAGTGATACAATGAATTTAGGTTAAGTTGTTAATATTCAATACAAGCACACACTACTTAAATCATAAAGACCTACCATGTACTTAAGAGTTCTGTGCAGTGTTGCTTTAGAAATACTTAGAACACCAATTAATACGCTGCTACCCTGAAAACAGTGATGTGTCACTGCCAGCATGCAAGTAGAAACAACCTTCTCCCTGTCCAACTTCCCATTTCTTCCATTTCTATCCTATTTTATAATGTCTGAGAGTTGAGCTATAGCCTGGGACATTCACTCCACCACCTTTAATGGAACAGCAAACACCTTCACTCTGCCCAAATACACAATGACAAGTATCCTTGGTGGGAAACCCAGGCCTGAAATGTTATTTTCCATTTAATCACTTTGGATTAGCAAATCAATTGCAGAAGCCCAACCTTTCCATTCATTTTTTTTTTTTTTTAATTGAACACTTCTGCTTTGAATTTAGAGCATATCTTGATGTCTCTGCCATCTTTGAGATTTTATGCTGCCACCAGTAGTAATTAGCGACAGTGAAACTTAGCCTGGAAAATGTAATGAAGCAGAGCAAACTGTCATGCTAGTGACATCAAAGTCCAAAATGCCACTGCGCTTCATTGTTACTGAAAGTACTTCGTAACACTTTTATTTTCCGTAAGTCAGATTCTTCTAAATGAACAGCACTAAGCTGTATGCTCCTCCATCCTGTTGACAGAAACAAGGTCATATAAAGTGTCAACTTGTACCGTAGAAGTGAGCCAAGCTAGTTTTCCATATGGTCTACAGAGATACAACAAAGCAGGCACATGGTGTTACGCATACTCGATCCTTCTGGACTAGACAGCAGTTCTATTCCCAGCTGTGTATCAGCAAGCCTTCAAGAACATATCAGGTATTTTTAAAACAGTGCTTAGAGTTTTGACTCCTATTCACCATCTAGGAAAACAAAGGTGCCTTGCTCAAAAGGTCTCTTCTCCCATACAGCCATTGATAAGACAAGATGGAATGGCCCTTTATCTGCACCAGGTAAGGCTCAGGTTGGATATTAGGGAAAATTTCATTGCCAAAAGAGCAGTCAGAAGCTGGAATGGGCTGCCCAAGGTGGTGGTTGAGTCATTGTCCCTGGAGGTGTTCAAGAAATGTTTAGATATTGTACTAAGGGACATGGTTTAATGGGGAAATATTAGTTGTAGGCGGACAGTTGGACTGGATCATCTTGGAGGTCCTTTCCAACTTGGTGATTCTACAATTCTAAAAGTGCCATGTTTTTAGAAAGTTTGCAAGTGCAGGGTAAAACTTTCAGAAGTTTTTCCATAATATTCACATGCTCCACATTACTTTTCCAAGTGACTCAGGCACCCCTGACAATGGGGTCCACTCTATCAATGAATCTTAAGAGTGTTAGAAATGGTCTTGAAAGCAGCGTGCTATAAGTCTGCTCACTAGCAGGATGACTTGCTTTTCTGGCCCTCAAATACCAGAAAATCCAGAACAAAGGGGCACACAGAGGTAGGACTGTATCACATTTGTGACACAAAATTCGAATGCTATTCTCATCTAACTGATGGTCACATATGTTAAAATTCTAAATGGGCACAACCATGTTGCCATGTTTGGCACCTATCCAGAATTGCACAAGCTTCTGGTAAGTGCAGCTCGGCATCAGCTTAGCTAGAGATGAACTGCCTTTTTAAGTACTAGACAAATATGATTACTGCATCACACTGAAGATTCTGTCTGGGTATTTATCCCATCTTTCTGGATGATCTTTTCAGCCCTGTATAGCTCTCTATTATCGTATCTAGGAAATTTTGCTGGCTGATCTGAAAATGCATCAGGAAAGTCTATAACATCTGTACCAAAGCATTGTCTACCCTATTACTTTGCCTATACCTGTTATTCTTGATGGTATATGAATGAGAAAAAATACTGAAGTAATTAAACTTAGGTTTGAAGAAAAAACATTCAGTTAGTTTGGAAAATTATAATTTTGCAAGTTGAGAGTGCCTGGGAAAATGAATTCTGGGTTTAGTTATAGAAACTCAGGTGAATTTTAATGGAGAATAATCTAGAACATTCTATCAAGAATGACTTTTTGTTCAAATATAAGTATCAATATAGCATATTTAAATTTAAGGTTACTTTTTTTATCGTTACTATTCAGCCTGTAGATTCCTTATATCAGGCAATGGAAGAAGTTCTTGTGAAGCAGATTTGAGTCACTTGTCAGAAAGACACTGGTGCAGCTGCATCCTGCAGATGTGTCACAAGCTAGATCCTAAATGCAGACAGCAAAAAGGACAATGTGCCACTTGGTTGGTGAAATAGAGACATCTACCAAAAGCCTTTGGGAACAGAGCTAACAAGTTTGAAAAGCAGATGGAGTCGGACTGCACACTACCATTCTGTTTCAGCACTGATCTGCTTTTCCTTGATTAGAGGCAAAGTGTTTTCCTTTAAATAGTACTTTATTCTCAAGGGTGTCTAATTTTCTCTAAGATGTCAAATGTGCATTGTATTAAGCAATATCTTCAAATTCCAAGGCAGTTAATAATAACATATCACTCACTGCCTTCAGCAGCACTGCTTCTCAAGCTAGACACCACTCCAGCTATCACTGTCACGCACTTGCCTGTCATAAGAAAAACATCCCAGAGGCAGTAATCAATTTCAAAATATCTGTAATAGAGAAAACTGAAAGATACAGATTGCATCTCACTTTAGTATAAATGCACCGGGTGCTGCAGGATCATATTTTTCATGGAGAAAATTACAAAAGTAGTTTTTTTAAATCATTGGTTATTAGCTAGTAGTGCTTAGTTATTTTAATGTACAATTTTGAACAAATACAGCTCACTCTGCTCTGGAAATGTACGATAGCAAATGAAAACTTCCAATCCAAAGGGTAAGCCTGTCTGCTCACTGTTACGGAGAATCAGAATGGGTACCTGAGAATGGATTCTCCCTGTGGTTATTTTAGTTCCAGTACTGTCTGACAAAGCGTTTCTCATACATTCACCCAATAGATAAAATTTTGAAGAATTTGCGCAACTGCAAGAGGAGTGCTCTAAGATCAAATCTTTGGGGGCAGTGTGTTACTTTTAAGAAAAAAAAGAGAAGGAAAAAAAAAAAGGGAAAAAAATAAGGAAAAAAAAAAGAGGAAAAAAGCATTGCCCCCATTTGCTGAGATCACAACTGCATCAGAAGAAAACCACTGAGCAACACTCTTGGTGTTCGGCAATAAAGCAACACAGTACACAGAGCTGAAAACAGATACGACAATTTAATTAACTAACTTCTTTGTAGCTTGAGAACTCCAAGTGCTGCAAAGAACATTTTTATACATAAATGACTGTACAGGCATGGCTTTGCAGTGACTTCCTATTGTGCTGAGGTACTGGTAATGGAAACTTTTACTACATTACGTTCTTCTGAGCAACTTCCCTAGCTGTGGTTTTCTGCTATTCCCCTGATAAAAGCATCAGAGTGGTGAGAGCTTAGCAAATATGTAAAACTCTCACATGAATTTGAGACTTATTCTCAAAAGTAAAGCCGTGTAACATCGGAGACATCAAAACTGGGTTATTTTTCATGTGTTGGCACAGCAGGTGTTATTCTGCAGTTTAAATGCAATGTTTCCTTTGATTTAGTTCTGAATTGCTTTGACGGAATTAGAGAGCGCAATGGGAAACACTATGAAAACACCGAGAGCCTCCGCAGAAGGAGGAGAAGAAACAAATGGGGCAAGCCAGACGGGTAAGGACTCATTTAATTTCTTTCAAGAGCAAAAAGGTGTTCAAAATATTTGATACCTTCATTCATGCATCCATTCCTTAATCTGTCTGATAGAAAAATCAGGCAAGTGTGAAGTTTTCCTGTGGGATGAGGAAGGCATCTGTAGACAGTGTTTATTTTTAGGCATGTCCTAGCCCAAAGTTCCCAGAATTACTTTAATTAAAAATAGTACTTTAATACTTCTATACTCTGGTGTCTCCTGAAAAATGTTTGTTCCAGTTCAGATAGAATTGATGCATTGGAAATGAGAAATATCTCATTTTGACAAACTTCCATGTGATGTTTCACACAATTTTTCTCTTGAGCTTTAGTTCTGATCTTTTTAAAGGTTAACAATCATAATGCTATTACATCAAAACTGAACCTGAAATTTAATCTTGCACAACTGTATTAAAAGTAGCACATGGCCATCTTTCCATGTCACTAAGTTTATCAACTAAGGGTATACAAAAACAGATGTTTCACAGGTCAAGCTTGAAAAAGGCGAATCTAATGCACCTACTCCAAGCATGCACAAATGAAAAAATTGAATTCAAATTGCAAAACCCTCCATAGGCTGATAGAGATTGTGTGTCTGAGATAGAAAGAGGGAGATCTCCATTGACCTCCCACTCTCAAACTGCAAATGAGTGGGTAGAGACTATGCACAGCCCTAGCTCTCATCATGCTGCACTGTGCCAAAAAGTGCAGCAGTAAATTGTTCCCCAGAGATGCAGAAGAGAAAAAAAGCATTATTGTTGTTTTTAAGGGGTGGGAGGAGGATGTTAATCAAAATACTGGGGCTCTCCAACAAGGATTGTCCACTTGTACTGCTTGGCTTTGTAACGATGGAGAACCAAGCTGGTTTCCTGATGGTTCAAATGAAATATAGCCTGCTTTTAGCATTGCCAAGAAGCAGTATAGCCCTAGGTCCTGAAAAAGCACAGACCAAACACTTAGTGGCAATCCATCGGCACACAATATGAACCATTTATTTATTTATTTATTTATGAAGAGTGCCTATGCTGATCTTCCCAGCAACTGCCACCATAGATACCAAACTATCAAAACAGATATGCACGTTTCAAATGCCTGCATAGGTCTTTTGATCTCTCTCAGTTTTGATCAGGCCAGTAACTTTTGTAATGGCTTAAAAGTTGCTAGTTAAAGTCAGGCACACAAGCATCAGCACTGTCATTCAAACCCAATGGAAACAAGATTTTTTTTTAAATGGAACACAGAACGAAAAGCAGATATTGTGGTAATTCAGTGAGTATGTTTCTATTTAGTTTCCTGAGCAGATCAAACTTTAAATCATGTTATTAAAGAGAAGTTTTCCCTCAGGCCAAGAAGAGGCGCCTTTACTTCAGGAAAGGTGAAGGATCTGATTCACAGACTTGCAAGAGCCCAAGTAGTTATTGGGAAGAACAGCTCACTTCAGTGGGGTGGAATAAAAGGAAGTGAAAAGAAAGAAAATAAGATTAACAGAAAGGATGAGACATTGAACGAACAGATATTCTTAGGAGACACTCAAGGCCAGGCTGGATGGAGCTCTAGGCAACCTGTTCTAACTGTGTATGTTCCTGTTCATTGCAAAGTCTCTTCCAACTCAAACAATTCTATGATTCAATGAATTGCAGTTGCAGAATTGATCCATAATGCAAATGTCTTTGTCAGATCTCTGTAAGTCTCTTGTGCAGCCTAAGATCTGCACTCAGGTCATAGTTTGATCATTTCTCACTTCCAATACATCCTTAATACATCAGCCTTAGTCCTGAAACAAGGAAAAATGCATAACCCCAAATATGACAGCACTCCATCTGAAAGCATACTGTGTGGGCATCCCTGACAAAACTTCGTAGCAGTAAGACATCATCAGAGGTTGTGAGCCCATCCCCTCTTTTATCCTCTCTGAAGACCTTGAATCAGGTCAATCCTTTCTGAGCCGTGCACTACTGCACATGCATAACTCTCACTTCCCGAGCTGGCAGGTTTAGATCTAATTTGAGTACACATCAATGTTGGTGCTGCAGCCACACCTCGTGGCAGAAGCACAGTGCACTGCCCCGCCACACCACTGCTCTCCTTTAACACCTCTGGGATTTGATATGCCATAAATCACAGTATTCCTGTCAGACATTAAACCATGGGACCATGCAGGAATTAGGATTTGGATGCACAGCCTGTGCTCTCCCTCCTCTCTTGAACAATTTGGTAGTGCATTCACAGCTGGCCTCTGAATGAGTACTTTGGGCCATGCAGGATTCAGTCTCACACCTTTAAAGACATCTAGCCATGCAAGCATCTAAAACTAGCTTGTGTTTCATACCCATCTTTCTCTCCTTAAAAAAAAAAACAACAAAAAACAACACACAACAACAGCAAAACAAACAAACAAACAAACAAAACAAATAATACCCACTGCACCTTACTGAATGGAAAGGATTCAGCACTTTGATCTTTCCACTCTAGTTTTTGAGTTGTTCCATTTCACTTGTCACCTACACACTTAAACTGTGGAGGAGAGGTTGTGTTAGAGGGAAACTCAGTCAATATAGCTGAAATTTGGGTGTGGAGAAACAGGGTAATCTCTTCAACCCCGTTTCATGGCTTTTGTCTTTGAAAAGAGCTCATATGGGTTTTGTGAAACACTGTAGAGTGCGGTGGGGTATTTCATATAACCAAAAAACCCAGTGAGGTTTGATTTAAATACAAATTAAAATGAGGGCTTGTTAGTGGAGTGGGAAACTTGAAAGGTTTTGCATAATATAAGTACACACATTTTAAGTGGTTGCATGGATGCAGCAGCCGACACCATGATTAATTCCTTCCTTTTCAGACCTCCAAATTCACAAGCAAAAATGAAACTAAAACAGATATAAAGATGAAAGCATAATCAAAATAATGCAGATCTTTCTAGAGCAGAGAAAAAATCATGTTCTCTGCAGTGCATAACAAAATGGAGACCACCACATACAATAGAAAAGAGGGCAGAAAAGGACTTTCTACTCTTTCAGTGTGAAGAAAGAACACTTAGAAATAAGTTTTTAAAAAAGCATCGCTAAATGCAGTTTCATAGAGAAGATATTTCTTCACTTTTAGTGCATAACAGGAAAGTGATGCAAGGCATGTTTGGCACAAAATGTATAGCTCAGTGAATTACATAGGATACAGTTCACTAATCATGGCAATTGGGTGATACAAAAGTGCTGGACTAGGTCTTTTCAATTCAGGGACACTTATCAACTAAGAAAACCATGTAATAATAACACAACATGTACTGACAAATTAATTTGTGTCTACTCTAGACTCTAGACACCTATATATATCTGTAAGAATGCTTACTGTTTGTATCATAGGACTATTTCATTTGGCAACAGATAAGAAAACTAAACTAACTTACAACCACTTGGAATATGAATGTGAAAGGACTTTCCACATTGCGTAATGCTCGCCTCTGTATCATCGAGCTACTCAAAATTAACTGAGAAAATGTTACTTTCTGTTTCTTTTAAATGATGGATATGGAACATTTTTCTTATCACATGTTTTTTACTATCACTGCTGTAAAGACAATTAGAAGTGTTAAACTAAGATCATCTATCAACCCACCACCACTATGCTCATAAAACCCACCATCATTCATTTGCAAATCTCCCACCTGTCAGTGTTTGCTGGGTGCTCCTGCTGGATGAGAAGCTTTTTAATGCTTGGTAGTCAGTTTTGCTCAAAGTGCAAGGCTCCATCTCCCTCAGGAATCCAAGGGCTCAACACATGTCCTTACAGTGCTGCAAGACCCAGACTCATCCTGACTGATGTAAAAGCCTTCTCATCTCTTTTCTGACCTCAGTTCTGGGACTTGCAGTTACAAAGTGATTTAATTATAAACATGCATTTTGTCTCTCTTCGTTTATGGAAAATAAGGAGCATCATGTGCCACCCCTAGGACAGATTCAACATAAGAAAGAGAACGAGAGCCTCTGGCTGTTCATTAAAATGACTCACAAAGGTGATGGGAAATGGGCAATTATAGCTACACTCACACTGCCCTTTACCTGAACTAATTTCATGATTTCAAAATGTACCAGTGGTGCTAAACACTGGAACAATTCAACACACATCTTCATCTCCTTGAAGGAAAATATGGCTCGGAGTTGTAGCTGGAGGCACTTAGAGAAAAAGGCATTCATCAAGTCTAGGTTACCTCATAATATTATAAATACTCATTTTGATAGTTTCAAAACTGAGCATGTCCCTTGAAAATGATAATTACTAGAAGTGGCCTAAAATTAGCTAGTTATAATTAACTAAGTGGCCTTTTTTTCATTTCTAGTATCTTCACATTCTTCTCCAAAGCTATAGGCTTTTTATGACTTTCTATAAAACAGAACATACGCATTTCTTCCATTCTTCTTCAGAACTCTATCACATTTTCTGTCTTTTTTAACAGGTCAGGAGAGTGATTTCCTTGCTGTCCTCTATGACTATCCCTCAGCAGACATAAGCCAACCTATATTTCATGTAGGAGAAAAACTACGTGTGCTATCAGAGTAAGTAGATACTTTTTTTTTTTATTTTTTATTTTTATGTTTTGTTACAATTGATGACTAACATCATGATGTTAGTCATCAATTCATGATGTTAGTCATCAATTGTCATTGTGTCATAGTCTTTGTGTAGATGACTCCAAGTGGATGCAGTTCAGCAAAATGGACTGTGTTTAGAATCAACAAGGAAGGATTCTTAGACATAGTGTAAATTTCCCTAGATTTTAAAGATTAGGTATGTCAGGGTTTTTTCCTCTGAAATGGCTTCTGAAGATAGATTCAGAGTATAATTTTAAAAAGGAGTCAAAAGTGAATTCTGCTTTAAAAGATGATTTTCAGAAAGCACTCATACTTGTAGAAAACAGAGTGAGCAAAAGTAGTTTGAATTAGGTACAAAAGGAAAATCATTCTGAATTTCAAGCATCTCTTTCACTCCTTTTAATCTAACAACTCCTTCCTGGTTAGGACTTTGAATTTCATCCTGCATTTAAGGCAACTATAACAGAAATAAAATAACTGCTTTTCTCCTTATTTTTAAAATTCAGTCTGCATTTTTTTTATAGGAAAAAAAAAAAAAGTCAAAGATTTCCTTGCTATTTGTACTCAAAAATTTACAAACCTCACAAGGAAGCAGGCTCAAGAAAAACAATTACACTAATTTAGGCTGATCTTAAATATAGTGCAAATATTGTCACATACCAGTATAAGTACACTTCCTGAAAAATGGACAGCAATAGATCTGTTATTCCTTTTTGCACAACTTGTATCTGCACACTATGACCTCCTAGGAGTTATTCAGCCCCTGTTTTCACAGCTTAAATAGAAATGAGAGATTTCATTTTCACAACTGGAGGAGCAGATGGATTTAAGAGGAGATAAAAGACATTCATATCAGAGAAATCCTTTGAGGATCTCTAAATTCATGGCAAACTTTAACTGGAGAAGCCAAAACATGAAATAGTTAGAGGACAGAAGTACTCAAGAGAAGTATCACAGATGCTTCATGAATTCTCAGAGACTTCTCTCACAGCTGTATACAGACCCAGAATGGCTGCTGTCATGTTCTGTTGACACAGTGGTTTCCCTAAACATGGAGATCAAAAGGCTCAGACACTACCACAAGGTAATTTTTTTTCTGATAGAGAGCTTCCATAAATCAGTGTCACTCTCTATGAACCTATGATTACCTTAGCCTGGAAATCCCAGCTGAAAGTTTCACTCCCAACTACAAACAGAACTACATATACCTACAACAATGGGAACTGTATGTATCATTTGTCATATGTATATGCATGTGTTGTATAATATGATCTGCTAGACATAAAACATCTGAAAGTACTAGGCTACTACTGTAGCAGTTTTTATCATGTTTATCTGTTGTGCAACCATCAAGAACATTTCCTGCAATAAACAAGAGCCAAAGTAAGCCCTGATAAGAACTTTTCTCTTCCTGATTTGGATCAGCTTGTGCAGACAAAAAGCAATGCTCTATGCAAAGCACTGTGTCCCAATGAAGGACCCTGTTCTTCCCAACTGGGATGATGTTAACAGAAACTATTTGCATACAGGTTCTTGCTCTATGTACATAACCTTTAGGTATAATCATTCTCTCAAGTCGTTCAAAGAAGCCAAACACAATGGAAAAGAAAAGCAGAATGGCAGGCATGATCAGAACACAAGTGAGAAGGAGTTACCATGGAGAAGCATTAGAAGACAGCACATACTGCTCTTGTAATAATTGCTTTTCAACCTTCAACCAAAGCAATTAAGTGTATTGGCAATCAGCTCTGTGAAGCGTACCAGGAAACTACAACTCCTCACAGATACTGATGACTGCTCTAGGTTGGCACAATTAGATCAAGACCACTGACAGCATTCTACACTCTCCACACTCATCCAGGAACTGTTCATTACCTAGTTTGTGCTAGTAGGACCAGCTGTCCTCCAGAGAAATACCCCAGTGTATATGATTTCTGTGGCTCCTGCCCCAGGGAGGACATGCTGCTCTTGGACTTTTAACCACCACTGGGATTTTACAGCATTAGTAATGCTATAGTTTGTAGGGAGGTATATGCTGAGTGTCTCCAATTTTTTTTATTCTCACAATAATGGGTTCTGAGAGTTCTGTGGGAAAACAAACACACAAACAAAAGTTCCTGAACTTTTAAACTATTTCACAACACAACCACAAACAAAACTTGCAGAGCCCTGAAACTTCCAACTCTAAATAGCAGACTTCTCTTTTTCCTCCAGTTCATACTTTCTGGACCATGATGCCAGTCATTATAAGCCAGGAGGTTTAACTTAGTGTTTGCAACTCAGTTGTCTTGACCTAGACTGAGTATTGGATCTGCTGTCTGGGAATTATTTGGAAGCATTATTTTGGAACTGCCACAAAAAGAGTATTCAAACACTATTATTTGGATTCAAATCCTTAAAGGAAAAGGTGGAGAAAAAAGCATAAATCATCCTAACTCAGCACTGACATAATTCCTTTCATTAGTCTCTAAAACACTGTAGCATCCCTGTGAAAATTTTTATTACTGCCCTCCAAAGGGACTCAAAAGCTAAAGCTTCATCAATAATCTATGTCAGATCAATGAAGAAACATATGCCTGGTCACACACATTTGGCTATAAGGTCTTTTT